CAAATGGTGGAGAGTCCCAGATTTAAGCCCTATGGGAGTGAACCCAAGACGGACATGGACCCCCTAATGATCCTCTACCTAATCATATGAGCCAAGGTGTGAAAAGGAGTGTAGGTCACAACCAGCCAAGGTTTTGGGTGAGCTCATTGTGAAACCCAACCGCACCCTATCATGTGATTTCCCGAGGTCAGATGGCCCATGATGTGAGTGGGCGTTAAGGCGTCTGGGAAGGGATCTCAAAACTGGATTATAGATGGCGGACAGTTGTGTTTACATGTTAGAAGCTTGACTGTTTTATGTGGCCAAAGAAAGAAAAAAATAAACTGGCCTATTAAAGAAAAACTAACTTTAGCAGGGCTCTAGACTAAGTTTTTGCCATGGCTGCACTGGTGCGCATAACTTTTTTTCTTAGGCGCATCAGCCCAAAAGTTAGGCGCACCCAGATTTTTCAACTGCATTTCTATAATCCATTCAATTCCTATTCACAAGGTCACAATTCGATTTGATTCAATTTAGCCTCAGACAGTCATAAATATTATAATTCTGATCATTTATCAGTACTGATCCATGTGACACTTCATCAGAATTGTGAGCATCACAGCAGATGCCTTTGTGTCAAAGTAACTGAGAATAAAACACAGAAAAACATGAAGGAGATTTTCCTGGTCTGGCTTTTTATAGCAGATAACCTTAAAATGTTCTGCAATATTCTGCAAATTTGCATAATTTTAAAAAGTTTACATTTCTTCAGTATTGAACAGCAGAAATTAGGCTTTCTTGTCTGAAGACATTAAAGTAAAAAGAAAAAGAAAAAAAAAGACAGCGACCGACAGTGCTGTAAATAACGATAGACTGGCAGGTAGGCGAATGAATAATGCAGAAAATGGAGATTTAAGATGGGAGAGTGTTCTTGAAGTAGAGAGAGCAGTGCAGGATGTGGGATTTTATCGTGGTGGAAGCAAAAAAGCAAAAGTAAGAGGAAATTAATGATGAGATTTCTCAAATGTGAATCGTAGTTTGGATCTTCTTTTGCTGCTGGTTCAGTGAATTTTGGAGAGAGACAAAACCTGCAGCTCAGAATTGAGCAAAAAAAAAGAGACCACAAAGCGATTCTGGCGTTTCTGGCAAAATACATTTAAAAGTTGATTCAGGATTTAATGAATCGACGTCACTTTATTCAAGCTACTCACCTCTCTCTAGCCACCTGCACTTTCAAACGTACATACGAAGGACCACAGGAATGTCTTGACCACGGCCAATCAGAGGTTTTGACGACGATAGGGGCATAATGTGTGTCTGTTGTAGACACACATCTACAAGTAGGTAGATTGTAGTGTTCAGAAGTGTGAGTGTGTCTTCTCACTGATAGATGGAGCACATGTTGAGTCTGCACCAAGACAAAAAGAAACTCAAAGGTTGAATTTTATTTCATCTGTAGTCTAAATCTGTAAAGTGTCTGATGTAAGTAAAGAGCTGACGTATCTGCTGGTTTCAGAGTTTGTCCTCATGAAAGTAAGCTAAAGCTCTGAAGCTCTATCTTCAGCTGTGCACTCACAGAGCAACCTTTCTTGTTCTTAGCTGCACAGTTAGTGAGCTTTTAAACAGGAATGGGGAAACAATGGGCTGGCTCATGTAATATAATAAAATAAAACAAAAAACAACACATCATGGTATTTCCCTCGTGACCACGTCATGGATCAACAGTAACACCTCTTTTTTCCTGTGGTTTTCCTCACAGACTGATGATGTGTCTCAGGGTTCAGTGGCTCAACTTTATTGAAATGTTATGAAGCTCAAAGAGGAAGGCAAAAGAGGCAGAAGCTGATCA